TATGCTATTGTTATTGATCTTGTTTGGCGATGTTGTCTCTGTCGTCGTGCTTGTCTGTCAGTTGAGCCAAGGTGGAAGGGGCCTTAGAAACACGTACGGTAATTCTAGCGATTCAACACATAAATCGTCACACTTAAACTTTCTTTATATTTCTAGATTTAGACATAAAAAAAAAACACGCTAATGTCCCACAATGCACTTTGACAACCACTTCGACTCGGTCTACCGCGCAACCTCAAAGTTGCGAATATTTGCTGTGTTATAAGTAATACCTTCTTTTGAAGTTTTTAGCCGTTATTTTTACGTTTCTCTCAATTTGGTGGCAGGTCCCACAGTTTCAATTTTGATAAATTTAGTCACACAGCGCCTTTAAGATCAAGTAAACTACGGCCGGTTGGTCCAACAGGCTGTTAGATTGTAGTTTCGTAATTCACCACGCGGTTTTCGTCTCCTGCTTGTCTTTTTGCCTTTCTAAAACTTCTGTTTTCAGGAACTCGCCTCTGCCAGATATCATAAGTACATTCAACACTAGGTGATTCAGCAGGAAGTGATTTCAGCTCTCCAAGGGGTCTACGTTTGGCGTCATTCTTCACGTAGTCTGTGGAATAAAGAAACATGCAATTCAAATTGTTCCTGTGAGCAATGAAATACAGTTAAAACCCGCGTGCAAGAACCTACATTTTTGGAAGTCTAGCAAAAAAAAAAATTGGTTCTTGTATTTTGGGTTCGTTATTGGCAGCTATTAAAGTAGGCTAAGTAGGTTCTTTTAATGAAAGAGATGTGGTCGTCGCTACCAGAAAAACTTGGGTTTTGTCCTTAAATATACAGTATTTGCTCACAACTGTATTATGATAAGCCTAATTACACTAACTACAGAATGTATACAATGTATGTAGCGTTATCTCTAAAACTCGAGTTGTATAACAGAAAACATAATAGACGTAATATAAAATATATGATTTAAAATAATAAAAAATAAATATAATATGTAATATAAATTTGAAATCTCAAAGTCAAACTACTTGGTAAAAATGTTTATCATAATTTAACCGTAACCCGCATTTAAAAGCTCGTTGATGTTGCTTGGCTAAACAGGTTCTTATATTTTTGGCTATTAAGAAGATAAATTTCCCCCAGCAGGTTCTTACACCCCTAGATTCTTACACGCGGGTTTTAAGCGTAACGTTTTTATGTGTCTGTGTCAACCTATAAAGCACGAAGTCCTAACTGAGGACGCTGTTTTACACTTCCGTGCTGAAGACGGCTGGGACCGCAAAGTGGTTCGCGAAAGTGGTTATCCGCACCACACGAAGGTCTAGGTGTCTGCATGACGAGGAGCAATGGCAGTTCCTTATTTTACTGTTTTTTAAGACCCTAAAAGCATTGTTTAGGCCCCGAGAATCGAAGCTGTGGTCTCCCGCTCTGCTAGCCAGTGCTCTCAACTGAGTCAATCTTGCCGAGAGTGAAACGTCCAAAAGGCAAAAGGGCATCAAAACGTGAACTCCCTCTTATACAGGGGTTCACATGACGATAATTAACAATTATTCCACGAGTGCGCGTTGGATATGAGATGGTAGATAGCGAACGAGACGGGTAGCACCGAGTAGGCTATAATCATCTCATATTCAACAAGCGCAGTGCAATAATTGTTTTAATAAAAACGCCCACAAAATATCGAGAATTCTCCCGACTTTAATTGTAAAAACAACCGATTTTCAGCTTGTTTTTAATTTGGAGCAGACGCGTACAGTTACCATATTTGGAGAGCATGGTATAATTAACAATTATTCCTTCAGCCCGAATGGGCTCTGAGTCAATAGGCTATTGACTCAGAGGCCATGATGGCGAGAGGAATAATTGTTTTAGTAAAATCCAGCTAGTTGGTAAAAAAATATCGAGAAAAAACAACTTTAGCTAGTTAAGGCTAGAATTTAATACTTTTTGCCGCCAAAAAGCCGCCGCTTTTCGTTACCAGTGGGCTATAACATATAGCCTAGTGGTAGCTCAACGAATCAGAACGCAGCATTGATAATAGACCACTAGTTGGATTTTACTAATGGCTCATATACCATGATAGCTAAGCCAATCAGAGCCCTAGAATTGCATTATCCAGTGATTAAGTGTTAAATAATGTCGGTTATATTAGTTTGTGGGGCACGATTGCGTAAGTATTAAGTGATACAGTGCGACGTCAATGACGGTCAGCTTTGTTATTTATTGTGAATGTTGCCCTAATAGAGAGTAAACACAGTTGCTTTACGCATGACACGTGACACGGTCTCGTTTCCAGGCCCTATTATGGCGCAGAAAACATAGAGTGCAGGGCGTCATGGGTAGGATCCAAACATCTTTACCAAGCTACAACAGGGTGCGCCGCGTAAGAGCAAGCAAAGATGCCTGGAGACAAGACAGCGTACAGTGAATTCAACAGAAGGGTTACAGCAGGCAAAGGATCATGAAAGAACATGTCGCGAGGTCAGACATACAGTAATCTGCTTCACAGCCGTTTTGTTGCCTCGTCACGCAAACTTTGTGGGGAGGAGCGTTGCGTGACGACACAAAGAACGGTTGTGGAGCAGACGAGACATACAGTAGTTAGCGAAACAAATTACACAAAGCTACACGAATAGGAGGTGAGAGAGAAAGCGATGGCTGCATGATGAGGAGGGAATACTCACTTATCTGAGTTACATGCTCCAGCCAAGCAAGATGGCGGGCAAGGTCATGAAGCATCTGAAGAAATCAAGTCATATTCAGTGCAAGTGCAAGTTAAAATTAAAAATAAAACACTATAGCGGTGCAAGCGAAGGAAATGGTTGCATGATAGAAGAAAGATAACTTACACTATCTAAAGGAGATTATGCGCACCCCAAAATTGCTACCCCCTTACTCCTGCCCCTTCCCTTTCCCTCCTTAAAACCGCAGCCGATAAAGTTTCCCAAAATCCAGCATTCACCATTTGCACATCTCCCATAATACACCTTGATCCCCCAACCCACCACAAGAAGAAAAATTTGCATAGCCTTTGTTTTCATTTCTCCTGGGCCGGCTTGTCAAAGCTGGGTTAAGATAACCCCGGGTTACTGCGTAATTTGAAATCAGATTTGGATGCTTAAAAAGTAAATTCAGTTTAATTCTTTCTGTCAACAAGTTGATGATAAGATTGGATTCTCTTAGAAATAACAGAGAAAATTATCGGAGGAAATGCTTTTGAACAAAAGAAAAAGGAATCCCGGTTACATTTAATCCTGGTTTAAGCACTAATCAGCCTTTGAACAACTGGGCCCAGCTGTGTGTTTATGTCATCCTAAGGAAAATGACAATGCTCATGCAAAATATTGGGGGGAAAACAAGGTGTATTACGGAAGATGGATGCGAAAATGGCGAACAGAATTAAACCCTGTAGGTTCACAATGTGAATAAATTCTTTCTCTTAATAGTACAGTGTTGCAAGAAACCGCTTTGATGCTGTATTTGTCACTGACAGAAAAGAAATCATAAAAGGTACACACTGTACTTACCCGTCGTACAACTAAGCGTGACCTCTATCGAATCATACAAAGTCTTGGTTTCGACCGAAGGAAGTCTCTTTGGTTTTGGGTAAACAATGTTCATCTCCTGCCTACAAGAATCCTTCCAAGCGGTCACATCGCGAATAGCTTGGTACAAAGCATCTCTCCACTTGGCGTACTCTTCATCTGAGTTAGAGGCTAGCACAGGTTCCTTCTCGGGCACCTGGCTTGTAAGAATTAGAATATGACGCTGTTGAAACGTGGGGCTGATTGTGTCTGCAATTTCCATATTCTGGTTACAAAACAAGAACAAAAACTGTCAGTACAGAACAAATCACAGGACCTATAGTCATATTGGTGGTTTTTACTGTCATGTCCTTGGTTAATATAGTTCCTACACGTGCAAGTGGTTAACAAAGTTCCTTAGAAGGCTAACTAGCGGGGGCTAATTCACTCTGGGACAAACTTGATTTCTTTCAGGGCTAACTTTTAGGGGGGCAAACTCACTACAGGGTGAAACCACTTCCAATCAAAATTGTTCAACTGATTAAGCCCAGAATCTGGGATTTATGTCTCCCTGCCGAGGTGTGGGGAGGGGATGGTCCAGGAAATGTGAGCAGGGTTGTATATCATGCTTCTTGAATCCCCTACCTTATTTCAGACCAATATGATTTCCCCTTTCCTTAAACTATTTCACACCTGATCAAAATTCAATACCTAGTCCAGTTAAGCTGGAGCAGCATGTACCTGTATACTGATGACCGTAGCGCACAATATCCTATTGCACTAAAACTACTACCTCCATAGTTATCGGCAAATTGCTATTTGATATCTTAGAAAGGAGGATGACTATATTAAAATCCCCATAGGTACATACGAAAGGTTTTAATGTCTGCTTTTCTTTTTCTGTGTTATCATTTAAGAGTCGGTGACTCCTTGTCTCAATTTATCATACGTCAGTAAGCGCTGTGTAAATTAGATTACTTAATTTCTGTGTTTTACCTATTTTAGTTACATTCTGCAAGGCTTTCTAATAGTTTAAGGTTTTTGTTTTTACCAGATAAAAACAAAAATTTATGTACTTGTTTTGCCCCACCACGACTAGCTTTCCAGCTATTTGCGGGGCAAACTATCCAACTTTTGTATTTTTGTACCAAGAATAAAGCTGTTGTTGTTGTAGTTTAAATTAGGGCTCGGGTGTTGCTCTTTGGTGCCTAATCGAGCTCAAACCATTTACACTAATTTACAATTTGAAACTAGATATTTTTCTAGTTAAGTGAGGTTGAATGAGATCATCTTACTGGTTTGATTTCTATCAGTTCAACAGGTTCTTTGTTATTAGAGTCATCTTTACTTTTCCAGCATTTGATGGTTGCATGTTTCAAGACACACCATAGTCTACACCATGAAAACTGGCTGCCTGTCCTCATCTGAATATAACACGATAAAAAAAAAAAAACATTGACATCAACACACAAACTGTCAGGGCAAAATCTGAGCAATGCTCCTGTCTGCTTTTCACCTATTTGTTATTACAATGAAGAAAACAGGCTAGCAAGTCCACATCAATTTTAGATTATNAAAAAAAAAACATTGACTTCAACACACAAACTGTCAGGGCAAAATGTGAGCAAGGCACCTGTCTGCTTTTCGCCAATTTGTTAGTACAATGAAGAAAACAGGCTAGCAAGTCCACATCAACTTTAGATTAATTTTACTTTTAGAACAAAGAAAGAAGTTGACAACAGATCAGGCATAATTTTGGGCCTTTCTATAGAAACGCAAGGGGTCCATGGAAAAAGGGTCCTGAGACCCTGTTTATATGGAGAAAACCTGTCCCATGAAAGAAGGTCACCCTTCTAGCCATAGTCAACTTCTAGAAGGCATTTATAATTTTTATGATAAAGAAATTTAAATAAAGGCGCAGTGGAATAAAGCTCTAAGGGACTTCTGATTTTCTGCTAGATTCTCCCAGTTGTTTGCTCTGTATATTCAAATCAATCAACGGGAGAATTGGTTTTTAGATCAGGAGTCACTCAGGCAATAAGTTGTCCTGGGTAGAAAGGTCAGTTGACTATCCAACCTACAATGGGAGAGTCAACTTTTCATAAATTTCCTTTAAAATGGGTAAACAAAAAGTTGGCTTGGCTAGAGGTGTGACCCAGCTACGAGGGTCTTTTGTGATGATAGGGTCACCCTCCTAGCTGGGCCAACTCTTCTCCATATAGACAGCCAGGTCAGGACAATCGGAGCATGCACGAGTGCTGTTGGCTCTAGCAATGGGGTTAACTTTTTTTATGTTTGTCATTAGTTCCATTACTGTTGTAATGATACCTGTATTTCTAGGAATCCATTCATTTGCGGTTCCTCTACACATGCAGGTCTGGCTGCTAGACGACAGCAGATCTGACCCCAAAGGGCTAACTGAGGCATATTGGAGGATTCTGAAGTTGTTGCTAAGGGGCTAGCACCATATAAACCTACAGTATGAAGGCAAAGTGAAAATCACATCTTTTCTACCACATAGACTTTCAAATTTAAAATGCTATACGGTCAGTGATTTTGTTGCCTCTACGTCCTGCGTCCCTGACGGAGGGGACAGGGACTCATGATTTTTCACAAGACGAGTGCCAGGACTCACCATAACTATTTGTAACAAAATAACCATACAGTATGCTTGAATTTCTTTTAGTGAGAGTTCAAAGTTTGATTCAACAAGCCAGAAACTGGCCTCACAGTTTGGCACTGATATCAACAAGCGACATTTATTTTGACAAGTTCAGTGTCATAATTTTTTATTTGATAATATTACAATAACATTATCATTATTTCATTGACTGAAGAGAAAGAAAGCAATAAGAAGCACATGGCAATTTTTATGCAATTTAGTAGTGATTTAATGGCAATTTCTTGACATTATTTTTTTTTTTCCCTTTAAGTAGCAGTTACCTCAACCTTTATCTGGTGTAAACATTTTTTCGTAAGCTATGTTTAGAATCCCTCGAGCAGGAAATCCCTGATCAATCAATAAATTGCATGGATATTTGCAACAGTGACAAATTGCCATGAAATTGCTGCTCCTATACATACCCTATTTTTAGTCACAGCTAACTGGCAGTGAAAACTGTGTGACAAATCACCGATGTCAAACTTATAACCCTTGAAATGGATTACTCATCAAATATGTAAGTGCGAAAAATTTTGTACTTGCTAGACAGCTTGTGTCTTACCAGTTTTAAGATCATGTGATTTGACACTGTCGTTCAAGTGGTCAACTGTTAGCTGGGTGTGTCCTGCAAGTATAAATTTAGGAGTCTCAGGTCCGGCTGCAGTTCTTCTAAGAGGTCTCATTGCTCCGGTGAATCTGTTTGCTGCACTGTCTGATGACACTGTGTAGTAAATCTCTATGTCCAGTCTGAAATCATGACTCACATTGTCACTGTATAAAAATCAAAACAAAACTGCAGCAAGTTAGTTTATTATAAAAGGCAGTAGTGAACTAATAATAATAGCATAGTAAAGTAAACTCTCGCCTTGCGGAAACCTCACTATATCCGACAGCAGCTAAATTCTAGGCAAAAAATAAATAACAGACTTGTGACTGAAATAAAATCCCACTATTACACACTCTCCTTTATAATGAGGACACTAAATCAAGGTCCCTAGAGTGCCCCCTATAAAGGGAGTTGACTGTATTATTTAACTGACCTGTTCACAGGAGGAGCTTTTCAGAGACAATAAAACAGATAATCCTAATAAACTAAGCAAGATTAAGCATCCTAACCTGCAGGAGGTAGTCTAGTTTAATAGCTAATGTATCAGGGTGCAAAGAAAGACAGTTTTACAGCCTGCCATTCAGGCAAACTGTAGCTAGCATGTACTAGCCCACAAGTCTGTTCAACTAGCCCCAAAACCCTTTTTAATTAGCAGGATTGATTACAATCCTTATGTAATTTGAATTTCCCCAAAAAACAGCACTTGCCCATTGGGCAAGTTAAGAACAAAAATCACTAGCCCTGGGCTATTGGACACGACTTTCTTTGCACGCTGTGTATTAATTTATAAAACAAAGCTGCTGTGGATTTGAGATACCAAGAACATGCACTCAGGGTTGGGATCACAGTAGCAGTGCAGTGGACAGTTTAATGAGGCACCTTTTGGGTTTTCAAAATATTGTATGCAGACTATAAGCTGGAGTACTCATAAACATAAAAGTGAAAACATACAAGACAATTATGTTGTCAAAGGAAATGTCTGTTTCTGATTCATCAGTCTCCACCAGAGCAGTATCCAACACTTGGCCATCAAGCTTCAATAAACAGAACACATAGTAGAGATGTTGCTCTGAAAAAAAAGTGACGCAGAAGAAGACCAATCAGAACATAATCAACCATAAAAAACAAAAAATTAAGTAAAAAATGCCATATACTGGATGAAAATACTAGCAGTCAACTGCATGAGCAATAGTCTGGAAGAATATGTCATGGTTATTAAGGGAGAAAAAAAATTTAATACTAGTGAAGCCCCATTGATACTAACACTGATAGGCTGTAAAGATCTGACAAAATAAACTGGGTGGTCATGATTGACCTCACTGCTGGTAATGTGGCCTTTAACAACTACGTAATGAATATCAAAGATATCACCCTCGTGACTTTAAAAACAGATTTACAGTTTGCCTTTCTTACTTGATAACTGGTCTCACCAGAGGTAATAATTGTCTGGTCATATTGAAGAGATTGAGGTTAAGCACCACTTTTACAGCAAATGGCTGATTTCCATCTGCTATTTGCCACTGGTAATCTTATCATCATGTATTAACAAGGTTGTGAATAAGAAAATGACCATTCAATGACAATGTACCTGTTTTGGTTTTATTGTGATCATCTTGAGTCCACATCAAGGGGACCCGGATATCTGAAGAAGAAAGTTTCAGAATGTTACATGTAAATTGTCTACTTACAGATAACTCAATGCAGTAAGTAACTATAACCCTTTGCAAGGCATCTTTTATCACACAAAAAAGAAAATTCAGTCAACTTCTCTGGTAGGTAACAATCTCTTTTTGGTACTAAGTAATGAACGTACTTTGTTTCGCTTCTTTGCATGCAATAAACTACATGACCATCTCATTATGGACCATATAATCATACTGCAACCTTTTTTGTTTGTTTGTTTGTTTGTTTTTACCATTGAAAAAAGTCCCATCTGGTTGTCTGGGATAAGTAGATTTCCTCACTGGGTGAGTAACTTCTGAGGCTCACTTGCCCAATGGTCAAGGGTCCAGGCATATCCTCTGACAAAATAAACTGGGTGGTCATGATTGACCTCACTGCTGGTAATGTGGCCTTTAACAACTACGTAATGAATATCAAAGATATCACCCTCGTGACTTTAAAAACAGATTTACAGTTTG